CGAGGAGGCAGGGGAAGTGGAGTGCCGAATGTATCCCTGTCCCAGAGATTCGGAGACATATGTTTCCATAGCCGCCGTCTCCTCCTGTGACAGAGGATACACATGACTCCGAGGAAGTGCAGCGCCCTCCCGGAGATTTATCGCACAATCCCCCTGTCGATGGGGTGGTAATTGAGTCGCCTTCCTTTTACAGAAGGTGAGAGCCAAGTCGGCATATTCGGGGGGAATGTGCATCGTGGAGACCTGGTTTGGACTCTCCACCGTAGTTGCACCTACGGAAACACCTACACACCTCCCCGAGCACTGACGTGACCATCCCTTGAGAGCCCTCTGTTGCCACGAAACATTGGGGTCATGAGTGGCTAACAAGGGAAGCCCCAACACCACAGGAAACTCAGGAGAATCGATCAGGAAGAGACTGATTCTCTCCTCATTAACCTCCTGCGTTTCCATCCGGAGTGGAGCTGTAACCTCCCTAATCAGGCCCGACCCTAAAGGGCGACTATCTAAGCCATGTATGGGGAAGGGCACATCAACAGGCACAATAGGGATCCCTAATCTACGTGCAAACAGACGGTCTATAAAATTCCCAGCTGCGCCGGAATCTACAAGCGCCTTATACTGGGAATGTGGGGAAAACTCAGAAAATCTTACACACACACACACACACGTGAGCAACAGGGAGCTCTGGGTGAGTTGGGTGCTTACTCACCTGGGATGGTCCACCAGGGCCCTGCCTGCTGCCTCGACTCCCTGAGGACCCTTTCCAGCACCGACCAGCAGTGTGCCCTCTGCGGCCACAGTTGGTGCAGGAAACAGTCCCCTTACCGGTCCCCCTTACATCAGCACCTCCAAGCTCCATGGGTGTAGGTTCGGAAGTGCTGGGGGATGGACTGGACGGACCCTGATCTGGACGTCCGCGGGTGGCCAACAGGTTATCCAGCCGGATAGATTAGTCTATCAGCTGGTCCAGGTTCAGAGTGGTGTCCCTGCAGGCCAGCTCCCGACGAATGTCCTCCCATAGGCTGCATCGGTAGTGGTCTATCAGGGCCCTCTCATTCCATCCCGCGCTGGCTGCCAAGGTTCTGAAGTCCAATGCGAAGTCCTGTGCGCTCCTCTTCCCCTGTCTGAGGTGGAACAACCGCTCTCCCGCCGCTCTCCCCTCCGGTGGATGATCGAATACAGCCCGGAAACGGCAGGTAAAGTCCTCATAGCGCACAGACTCCGCATCTATACCTCCCCACTCCGCGTTGGCCCACTCGAGTGCTTTCCCCGACAGACAGGAAATGAGGCTGGACACGCTCTCGTATCCCGAGGAAGCCGGGTGGATGGTTGCCAGGTAGAGCTCCACCTGGAGCAGAAACCCCTGACACCCGGCAGCTGTTCCATCATATGCCCTCGGGAGCGAGAGCCGAATCCCACTGGAACCAGTGTTAGAATGGGTGGACAGCGACATGGGGGGAATTGGAGGAAGAGGAGATATTGGGAAACCTCCTCTCTCCCATCGCTCCATAGTGTTCAGGACTCAATCCGTAGCTGTGCCCAAAGTTTGTAGCATGGTCCACTGAGCTTGAAGGAATGGACGTGCCTGCTGACTCCATTACAATAGTGCATGATTCTGTCATGCGTCTGTGTGTAGTGGTAGGATGGAATCAGGCGCAGGACACATAACTATAAAAACAAAGTTCTTTACTGGAACAAAAATAGAAGAGCAAATCCTCCACGCAGGGAAGAGCAAATACCGGCTCACCAAAAGACAGCAAAACAACGAACAATCACGCACAACACCATGAGGGAACCAGAGGGTAAAATAGGGAAACAAATTAACATAACGGGTAACAGGTGTGATCAATTCAGACAAGACAAGTGTAACACAGAAAACATCGATCGGTGGCAGCTAGTACTCCGGTGACGACGAACACCGAAGCCTGCCCAAGCAAGGAGGAGGGGCAGCCTCGGCTGAATTCGTGATAGCTCTGTCATTGCTTGTCCATATATGTATATATTCTTAAATCCCATTCCTTACTAGTTTTGTGTGTTTTGGATATATGTTGTGAAATTGTTAGATATTACTACACTGTCAGAGCTAGAAGCACAAGCATTTCGCTACACCCGCTATAACATCTGCATGTGACAAATACAATTTGATCTCTCACTTCACACGTCAGTGCTAATTGAAGTTGTATCTCTTTGTACTAGAAAGCTTGGTAGGCTTAGCATTCAGTCCTTATAAAGTAAAATATATCATTGTAATGTATTTTTCTTCTTGGTTTTTGAAAGTAAAAAATAGCTTCAGACTAAACATTACTCACTCAGTTCCAGGTTGGATGGTCTCACACACTCACACACTCACTCGCTCACTCACTCACTCACTCACTCACTCACTCACTCACTCACTCACTCACTCACTCACACTGCAGGCTTGGTGCAACATATTTTTCTAAGTGGCTAGAGGATATTGTGGGTAATGTACCCATGAAATATGATAGCAACATTGCCTTTTAACACCCAGTAAAAGGAAAAATATTCTGAAGTTACCACCTTCAACATAGTCACTTAAACAAACAGTTGTTTGTCATTTTATAAACCAATCATTAAATCAATCATTGTGTCAGTGATGAATTAGTATGAAAAATCTTCCTACAGATGGATAGGCCTACATCTCAAATCTGAGGAAAATTAACGTTGTGCTCTCTTAAATGAACATTATCTGAAGCTCCTCTACTTGGATGCCTGGGCTTTGAGCTTGGTTGATTCCACGGCTCCTCGTCCTCTCTGCCTCTGCTACACTAGATAACATTAATAGACTAGAATAATTAATTCCACGGCGGGCAAATTATTTTCGAAAACACTTTTCAAATCCTATAAGCCCAAATATGTTAATGTTGTTCAATTGAGCGACTCATACATTCAATTGAGCAGAATGAGAAACAGAGAGAAAAAATAAAGTGGTGGCCAGGGTCTGGTATGAGGAGGATTCATGCTCCTGAGACCAGGAGAAGAAAATAAAAAAGGGCACTATTTAGCTCTGGTCAGCAGTGAAGGGATTGGAATTCACACAGGCAGCAACTGATCTTCTTGTGAGAAAAAAACAAACATACAAGTCCCATCGTCCGAGAGCAAATCCTCCAAGGACAGCAATTATACCTTGACACTGAGATATTCAATGACAATAGTCTTTCTCATTCAGTGAAACTGAGGAATCAAAAAGATGGATGCTTTTATGCTCTCTCTGGCAACAGGGTGACATCAGGGATGGGGTAACCTTCGATCTCATTCAGCCACTTGTGAAAGGCGGTGTTCCTTCTTATTGTCGCCACCAACTCCTGAGTCAACCTCTGGCTGGGTGTTGTCCCCTCCTCCTTCCTTCCTCCAGCTCCAGGAGCCTGAGCCCCTGCTTCTGCCCTGTCTGCCCTCCACTCCTACCAGGGGCGGACTGGCCATCTGGCATTTTGGGCAAATGCCAGATGGGCTGGTTCACTTTTAGCCTAGTGGGTCTGCCTAACTAGTGTTTTTTGCACAAAATGATCATTATCTGGATAATAATGGGCCAGTGTGCCTCGAGGGATAAAAAAAAATGGGCCAGTGTGGGGGCCTCAAGGGGGAAAAACTATTGTTTGTCAGAAATGCCAGAGCTGATTTCTGGTCCCAGTCCGCCCCTGACTCCTAACCCCTCTAGCAAGGCCCAGCTCTGCCCTGCATGTGGGCGGACTCAGCTGTTTCTTGGCACCACTACTCACTAGCACCCTCTCGTGGAGCTTCCTGGTGTCATTCCTGTGGCAGATCTCCCTCAGCTTCCTGTAGAAGACGCAGCAGCTGAAGTCCTCCATCCAGCTGAGGCTGATGTGGTTCTGCAGCACAGTCAGGCTGGGGTAGAACCACAGGCACACAGCACACTGGTACTGGAGCTTCCTGTCCATGGCCTCCATGGTAGAGGCCATGCGCAGAAAGTTGAAGTCCAGGTGGGTAGCCTGACTGGCCTTTGCAGTTTTCAGATTTCTATTCAATACATCATTTGAGAGGTAGGCTAAACTCAAGAAAGCAGGCCATTGAAAAGATCTAGCATTATGAAGGCACGGAAGAAGTGCTCTAACCTCGCTAAAGAAAACTACACAAGAATTTGGTCAATGTTGTTCTGTCGGAGGAGACTCCAAATTCACAAACTACAGCAGTTGTGAGAAGAAAAAAAACATGTTTTATCCCTACACACCAACCTTTCACAATAAATGTTTAGCACATGGAAATGGATAATTGGACTTTTAAATATTTGTTTCTGTTTTATATTCTCGTCTTGTATGCTCACACATTTCTCAGAGGTATGAATAAAATCCTAAGGTACTGCATGTAATGTTAATGGAGTAATCACATTTGAGCTTCGCCCTATTTTTTGCCAAAACATTTGAATATATGTAAATCTACTACACAGGCTTGTCATTATGTGTCATCTGCATTGGGAATCAAACATGCTTCATTTGATTGGCTCTGCCATGTCCATTCGCTTTGGGGTAAGAAGATCAGCAGACTCCAAAGTTTGGTGAGCAAGTGTGATATGTGTTCTGACTGTTCTCATCTCTCCATCACCATGGAGATGCTTCTCAAAATAAATACATGTGTGATGTCATAAACGTCATACAAGCAGTGCCTTCTACATGGAAGCATTGTCTTCCGACAGGTGGCGTCATTCCTACGCCCTCATCAGTGCAGACGGAATCGTTGCGCTATCTGACGTAAGACAATGACATGGAAGATGTGCATGGAGATTTGAACCTTTGTGAATGAAAAACTATTTTCATCTCTTAAATTAAGATAATTTCAGATGTCCTAAACCCTGAGTAAAACACATTTAACAGAGAAGAAGTAACCTACAGTATATTTTGTTTGTGTATTATTATTTTTTAATATATTTTTTAGACAGGTTAACAACACCCTGTCAGTTCTAGACAATCCAGCAACAATACTACAGTACACAAATTCTCCAACCAACTCATAAAATTACTGCCTCAGTGAAGTGATGCTGTCACTTCTGTCTTCTGCAGCCACTTTTGGATCATGTCTGCCTTCTTATCCCTTGTCTCAGATCCCTTCCTCATGTCGCTGTCGGTGGGCTGGAGTGCCAGGGCCAGCGAGGCCGACCCCAGGCATGTGGTGGAGGAGCTGGAGAGTTTAAGGTCGTTATCCATGGCCAGGGACTCCCTGCTCTGGCAACTCATCATGACCATGTGGTCCTGCATGCTCTTCAGTTTCCTGTAGAACACCTTGCAGCTGAAGCCCTCCCTCCAGCCCCGGTCAATGTGACCCAGCAGGGTCCCCAGATGGTCGTAGTACCTCAGGCAGCCTGAGCACTTGTACTTCCTCTCCCCGCAGACTAGTTCTGCAGCCGTGACCTTGCGGATGAAGAGAGGATCCACCTTGCTGCACAGTGACCTCTGGGAGTCGGAGGTGTGGTGGCAGTACATGGTCTGCGGCGGCCGAGGGTGAGGGTTGGCGCCGGTTGAACTGTTGGACCCTACCGGGGTTGGAGTGGCTGGGTTGAGGGAGTAGCTGTGGACCATGGCGTCGTAGTGGAGGTGGGGGTCAGAGGGTCTGCTGGCGGGGTGCTGGTCGTGGCCCGGGCTGGTGGTGCCCAGCCTGGACAGGAGGTCTGAGATGCTGGGGTTAAGTCTGGAGGGGGTTGTCTCTATGGTCTTTGACTGCACCTTCAGGCAGTCTGTGAGACTATCACAACCTGTACAGACAGCAGGCAGTTTTCAATTCCAAGGTTTCATTATGGGTCTAAAATGTACTCAGTTAAAAGAAAAAACATGACTGCATGGCCACTAAAAGTCAGTCTAAATGGAAATAGATTGAGTGTTTTGAGGGGTGGAAGTGAGTGGAAAATGTCACTACTTTGTTCCACAGCTAGAGGTGGGAAATGGGTTTGATGCACTAAGGTATGACCTTCATCAAGCCAACAGCATCTACTGGATAAATCCTTTCAGTCTATCTGTACTTTTACCAAGATTGATTCTGCTTAATCACCAGCTTCCCTTTAGAAATGTCATCAAGGTCATCCTATCATCTGATAAACACTTTTATATGTTGACATTTCATCATGTCACATAACTAGTGGCATAAAGAGTTAACATACCGGATGATTCTTCTACAATATTTGTCTTTTTTTCCTTAGTCCTTCTCAGAGCGTCCATACTTATGACCATTTAGGCCCTCATACCTAGTGTTTCAACAGCTACTTTGAGCAGATAACACCCTTGTGGTTCTCTGTTCTCTGAGTAACCATCATGTATCGTCACAGGCCAGAACAGTGATGTCACGAAGGGAACTCTGACTGAACATTTCACTGTGATGAACATTTTTGATAAACCAGCTAAAATGAGAGTAATATTGAATATCAGAACAAGCATTATTTTTCCAGAGGTAATTTATCTAGCACAATAATTACAGTAGCTACAATATGTAGGCTACATCTGTTGTGGGTAACAATGCCAATATAATTTACCTCTCTCTGCAGCCCTAGTGTTATCAGCAAAGTCATCTGAGGGATCATTCTTTGGAGAGTCAAGTTTCCTATAGAGTCCCCTCATATGATACCTGGAGATATCGAACTCTAGTCAGACAGAGAAGGATGCAAAGATATTACTGAAACACTCAGTGGCGATGATAAAAAAAAAAGAAAAGTGTAAAGATTAAGTGAATGTAATACATTTAAATAAGTAAGGCTACATATCAAAACAAACAATAAAGAGAGACATATTATTTAAAACCTTATATTGAGAGATTGGAGAGTATTGCTGCAATTGAGAGCATGGTGCATGTGTATTCAGTGCCAGATAAATAGCAAGCTAACATTAGCTCAGATAGTAATTTGATTTTATCAGCAAGAGTTCACTGTACCCATAAATGTTTTCATAAACAAAACATCCCACTCAGCTATCAGATTCATGATTTAGCTGTAAATGTACCTTCAATCTTCTTCACAAGAAAGTCCATTGGATTTCCCCTCTCTACAGTTTTGTGTACAGTTCTGTTATGAGCTCTTGAAGTACTAAAATGTTGTATGATTCAAATACTTTGTTTCATTGTTTCCTTGTTCCCCGGGAAACCAGAATTGTATGAGATCAGAGGGTTCCATTCAGAGAATAGATACAAATTAGGGATTAACACTGGTAACTGGGATCCGGGACTGTCCCGGGACCACTATTCACATTTCCCGAAAGAAAGACACCGGAAATTACAACATTTTCCCCCAATGTCGCACTAATGCAATTCCACTAAATACACAACATGCGCAGCAGCAGATTGTATAATGTGTTATATCTTTTTTTTTTACCAGACAGGTTGTCGCATTGTCGCCTTTAGCCTAACGTATTTACTTTACACAAAGTCGCCATAAATTCAAACCACACGCACAATTGACACTGCCAGACTGCACACGAGACCCGAACTGCAGTTTAGAGTTCTCATCAGAAGCAGAACTTGAAATTCATTCTTGGTCAGACCCAAGGCTGGTGAGCTGAAATTAAATGAAAGAACAACGCGGCGGAGGCGGGCGGCAGCGGAGTGAGGAGACGAGGAAACATGCGAGCAGTAAAATTTGATTTAACAAACAGATAAAAATACACCTTATGGAACAGCGGGACTGTGAAGCAACAGAAACATAGGCACAGACACATGCATACAAACACACGATAACATACGCACATGTACACTTGGATTTTGTGTTGTAGATACAGTACCAGTCAAAGGTTTGGACACACCTACTCATTAAAGTTTTTTTCTTCTTCTATACATTGTAGAATAATAGTGAAGACATCAAAACTATGAAATAACACATATGGAATCATGTAGTAACCAAAAAAGTGTTAAACAAATCAACATATTTTATATTTGAGATTCTTCAAAAAGCCACCCTTTGCCTTTATGACAGCTTTGCACACTCTTGGCATTCTCTCAACCAGCTTCACCTGGAATGCTTTTCCAACAGTCTTGAAGGAGTTCCCACATATGCTGAGCATTTGATGGCTGCTTTTCCTTCACTCTGAGGTCCAACTCATCCCAAACCATCTCAATTGGGTTGAGGTTGGGGGATTGTGGAGGCCAGGTCATCTGATGCAGCACTCCATCACTCTCCTTGGTAAAATGGCCCTTACACAGCCTGGAGGTGTGTTGGGTCATTGTCCTGTTGAAAAACAAATGATAGTCCCACTAAGCCCAAACCAGATAGGATGGCGTATCGCTGCAGAATGCTGTGGTAGCCATGCTGGTTAAGTGTGCCTTTAATTATAAATAAATAACAGACAGTGTCACCAACAAAGCACCCCCACACCATAACACCTCCTTCTCCATGCTTTACGGTGGGAAATACCCATGCAGAGATCATCCGTTCACCCACACTGCGTCTCACAAAGACATGGTGGTTGGAACCAAAAATCTCAAATTTGGACTCCAGACCAAAGGACACATTTCCACCGGTCTAATGTCCATTGCTTGTGTTTCTTGGCCCAAGCAAGTCTCTTCTTATTATTGGTGTCCTTTAGTAGTTTCTTTGCAGCAATTCGACCTTGAAGGCCTGATTCACGCAGTCTCCTCTGAACAGTTCATTTTGAGATGTGTCTGTTACTTGAACTCTGTGAAGCATTTATTTGGGCTGCAAAGGCTGGTAACTCTAATGAACATATCCTCTGCAGCAGTGGTAACTCTGGGTCTTCCATTCTTGTGGCGGTGCTCATGAGAGCCAGTTTCATTATAGCGCTTGATGGTTTTTGCAACTGCACTTGAAGAAACTTTCAAAGTTCTTGAAATGTTCTGTATTGACTGACCTTCATGTCTTATAGTAATGATGGACTGTTGTTTCTCTTTGCTTATTTGAGCTGTTCTTGCCATAATATGGACTTAGTCTTTTACCAAATAGGGCTATCTTGATGGACTGTTGTTTCTCTTTGCTTATTTGAGCTGTTCTTGCCATAATATGGACTTAGTCTTTTACCAAATAGGGCTATCTTCTGTATACCTGTTAATTGAAATGAATTCCAGGTGACTATCTCATTAAGCTGGTTGAGAGAATGCCAAGAGTGTGCAAAGCTGTCATCAAGGCAAAGGGTGTGTCAGAATGGGGTGATGTGTATGCGGCGGTGAAGTCAGGTGCAGGACACAGAGGATCAGGATGACTACTTTACTACAAGTAAACACGCACAAAACAAAAGTCTCCACAACACTGGAGGAGTAACACGCGCTGTGCGTAAAAAGCGAACTAGAACAGCCGAACATCAAAACAGGACAAAATGACAATAACACACAAAGGCCAAACGTAAAACAAGGGAACTTATATGTTACACAATCAACACAAAATAAGTAACAGGTGTACAAACTAGACAACACAAGACAAACACCGAAACATCGATCGGCAGTAGCTAGTACTCCGGGGACGACGAACGCCGAAGCCTGCCCGAGCAAGAAGGAGGAGCAGCCTCGGCGGAATCCGTGACAGTACCCCCCCCCCCTTGACGCGCGGCTCCAGCCGTGCGCCGACCCCGGCCTCGGGGACGGCCAGGAGGACGCGGAGCAGGGCGAGTGGGATGACTCCGGTGGAACTCCGTCAGGAGGGAGGGATCTAAGATGTCCCTCCTAGGTACCCAGCACCGTTCCTCCGGACCGTACCCCTCCCACTCCACGAGATACTGCAGACCCCCCATCCGACGTCTCGAATCCACGATGGACCGGACTGAGTACGCCGGAGCCCCCTCGATGTCCAGTGGGGGCGGAGGAGTCTCCCGTATCTCATTGTCCTGGAGTGGACCAGCTACCACCGGCCTGAGGAGAGACACATGGAACGAGGGGTTAATGCGATAATCATTTGGCAGTTGTAACCTGTAACATACCTCGTTCAATCTCCTCAGGACTTTAAATGGCCCCACAAACCGCCGACCCAGCTTCCGGTAGGGCAGGCAAAGGGGCAGGTTTCGAGTCGAGAGCCAGACTCGATCTCCAGGTGCATACACTGGACCCTCACTGCGGTGGCGATCGGCGCTCGCCTTCTGCCTACGGATAGCCCGCTGCAGATGGACATGCGCAGCGTTCCATGTCTCCTCCGAGCGCCGAAACCATTCATCCACCGCAGGAGCCTCGATCTGGCTCTGATGCCAGGGTGCCAGAACCGGCTGATACCCCAACACACACTGAAAAGGGGTCAGATCGTAGAGGAGTGGCGAAGGGAGTTCTGGGCAATCTCTGCCCAGGGAATATACCCAGACCACTCCTCCTGCCAGTCCTGGCAATAAGACCTCAGAAACCTACCCACATCCTGGTTCACTCTCTCCACCTGCCCATTACTCTCAGGGTGGAAACCCGAGGTAAGGCTAACCGAGACCCCCAAGCGTTCCATAAACGCCCTCCAGACTCTAGAGGTAAACTGGGGACCCCGATCAGACACTATATCCTCAGGTACCCCGTAGTGCCGGAAGACGTGAGTAAACAGGGCCTCAGCAGTTTGTAGGGCAGTAGGGAGACCCGGCATTGGGATGAGACGACAGGCCTTAGAAAACCGATCCACAACGACCAAAATATTGGTATTCCCCTGGGAGGGGGGAAGGTCCGTGACAAAGTCTACCGATAGGTGAGACCACGGCCTTTGTGGAACGGGTAGGGGTTGTAACTTCCCCCTGGGCAGGTGTCTAGGTGCCTTACACTGAGCGCACACCGAGCAGGAGGAGACATAAACCCTCACGTCCTTTGCCAATATTGGCCACCAGTACTTTTCACTAAGGCAGTGCACTGTCCGGCCAATACCAGGATGTCCAGAGGAGGGTGACGTATGAGCCCAATAAATTAGTCGATCAAGAATCTCGAGCGGCACGTACTTCCGCCCCTCCGGACACTCTGGATGAGGACGCAGGAGAAGTGGAGGGCCGTATGTATCCCTGTCTCAGAGACTCGGCGATGTATGTCTCCATAGCCGCCGTCTCCTCTTGAGACAGAGGATACACATGACTATGCGGAAGTGCAGCACCTGCCTGGAGGCCTATCGCACAATCCCCCTGTCTATGAGGTGGCAATCGTGTCGCCCTCTTCTTACTGAACACGAGTGCCAAATCATCATACTCAGGAGGAATGTGCAGTGCGGGCATTTGGTTCGGACTTTCCACCGTGGTCGCCCCTACGGAAACACCTATACACCGCCCGACACACTGATCAGACCACTCCCTGAGAGCCCTCTGTTGCCACGAAATGGTGGGGTCATGAGAGATTAACCAAGGAAGCCCCAGCACCACGGGAAACGCAGGAGAGTCGATCAGATACAACTGTATGATTTCCTCATGACCCCCCTGCGTCTTCATCGTTAGTGGCGCCGTGACCTCCCTAATTAAACCTGATCCCAAAGGACGGCTATCTAGGGCATGAATAGGAAAAGGCACATCTACTGGTAGGAGGGGAATCCCTAACTTAACACAGAAATTACGATCAATAAAATTCCCAGCTGCGCCTGAATCGACTAGCGCCTTATGCTGGGAATGAGATGAAACAGTGGATCAGAGGATCACTGTACATGGAGTATAAAACCTCAGCCATGTAGCGGTGTTCACTGGACTTGGTGACTGTGAAATGCAGCCTAAGCTCCTCCCACTGGTCCAAAATGCGTGAAACCACGGGTTCAATGGAGAGCCAACGTGTGGCACACACCTTGGTTATCTGTAAAGGTTTCTCCCCACAGTTGATGGTCTCATATATGGCCTTGTAGGCCTCCCTGTGCTTTGGAGACACTGAAAACCAGTTATAAGTCTGTCATACCAAGTACTCCACACTACGGGGGATGGTGTCATTGGAAGCATGACTTACAGCAAGCTGCAGAAAGTGGCACACACAGCGAATAAGAACCAGATCTTTGAGGCCATACTCCTCCTTCAGCACTTTATGGACCCCATTGTTAATCCCCGTCATAGCAGAGGCATTGTCAGTCCCTATCCCCAGGAGTTTCTCTTTTGTTAGACAACACG